TTTAGTGACCTAGATTTGCTCATTAACTGTATTCAAGGTTGGGAAGCATGCACTGATCGGAAGGGTAGAACGTTCTACATTGATCACACCACTAAAAGGACAACTTGGCAACGGCCGTCACTTGAAAGCAAGGAAGTCGAACACCTGAAAAGGTAAGAGAAAGATAAATTTGAGGGATTAAATGAAGGTACTGGAGAAATCTAAATAAAGCTCTTTGTACACAGTTAGCTTTAGGAAGTAAAGGCCCTTACCACACCTTGTGCTAACGCAATTGAGCAGGGCCAAGCTGGACAGCAGAAAAAACAAAGATTGATTACAGGTATTCGATGGCACGACGAACAGTTGGCATCACCCCGCCGGCTACACCCTCATATGGCCCTGCTCATTTTCTGCAACGTTCAGATTTCGTGAGCATATTACATGAGAATGAGGTAAGCGTCAGGAATTATCACTTTGAATGATCAAGTTATATTATTGAAATTACATTTCATTTATACATAAAAAAACTGAAGCTTACGGCTACCTTTCTGGGGTGCGCCACGCCTTCTCTTCCTTCTGATTCTGGCTCTTTTGGAGTGCTGCGGCCTACACAATGACTTGCCAAAGCCCGTTGTGCGTGTCAGTGTGTTTAGCCTATTAGACAAGTACGGTACGAAGTTACTGACCCCAAGAGAGTGGAAGAATTGCTCGGTGCTGGCGCGAGTCAGTCGAGGGTTTGGGACCGGAGCATGCAAGTGTCTGTGGGCGACATGCCATCACAACACCTCCGCCTTAACTCTCGCCTACATGGAATGGAAGGACGTTGAGCACCTGAAGAAGACGCAATATTCAAGGGTGCCACGTGACCTATACTCCTTATCCCTACGAATACCGGTGATTCGGCGGAAGCTCTTATAGGGTGGTCCTACCAGTGCGGAGAAATCAACGACCTCGCTGAACTCAGAGCACCTAATCACGGCCGTGGAAATCTCTCTAGATGAGCCTTCGGTACAGAAGGCTGTGGCGGCAGTGTCTGATAGTGTACAATAATGTTACTTGAATTTGATGGAGGAACTGTCCAATCAGATTTGATAGATGTAAACTTGTATCAACCTTGAAAGTCTTGAAGGAAAAATGGTCTTTTTTTTTTGCTTCGGTCCCCCTGTGCCTCATGCAGTATACATTTTAATACCTTGTTTTTTCTTCTTATTTTCCTTTATCGTGTTAGCTCCCGGTAAGGGCAACAAGTGGTGCTCAGCAGTTAATCAAAAAAGACGCTTCCATTTCAGACCGCCCTTGCCGCCTATAACGCCTCACCGATCGTCAAACACATTGTGCATCGAATACGAAAATGTGGTGAACCGACGGAAAAGTATGAGAATAACAAGTAAGTAGAGTTGTTATACATGATTAGGTATGTCCGGCTCGAAAGGCTCGATTTATGCCTCTTTCTGAGGGGATAAACATAGCCCTGTTGCAAACCCTGAATGCGGAACTGCTCTTACTGTGCGAGCGGGTTTTGCACTGCTACTTACCCTTTGATTTCAGTGGAGGGCACTGAAGGCAGTTGAGCGCATACAATCCTAGCCAGATTCTTGAAATGGCTCGAGCGATGAGGAAGCAGGGCACATCATCGTTCTGGAAACTACAGCTCTGGGAGTGTATTTGGCCTCTGGGATGGGAGTGGGGCCGTATTTCACCAACAGAATTTCTTCCATTTACTGATTTTTCTCCTTTCGCGTGTTTACCCCGGTTCGCGCCCGAGCTCGAAACTGAACGGACAGGAGAGGAGCTCCGGAGTGGTGGACCGCTTCAAAATAAGGTACTCCAGTCTGGATGACGTTATTGTTACTCTTGCACAAGGAGTCTTTCAGATGCTCCCCCGGTCCTTTCCCTTCCAGAGCGACACATTGGTGAAAAGTTCGTAAAAAGAGGGTGGGATGTGAAAGGGTGCTGTACCGAGGAAATCGATTCTGGTTAAGGGGGGGAGGGGTCGTATTTCGTGAAAATTCCTCACAAACGATTATG